CCCGCTCAGCGTACTATCTTTAACCACCGTCGCTCTAATGAGGAACTGAGCTCATCCAGGCTCAGCTCTTCGACACTCGTGCATTTACACTAAGTGGGGAGCGACTGCAGTGCTGCCCGCGGGCGCTGCACAATAAGGGCTCCAGACGTCATGCGATCCGTCACCATGTCCACGCCTATGTTTCTCAGTACAGCTGTTACCTTCTGTCCCAGCAGAGGATGTCCCCGAGTCTGTGAAATCGCAGATCGATCGTAAAGCTTAGTCATCAGAAACTATTAATAGATTTAGGTCTGTTTTTTCCAAAAAAGCGCTCACTACACACAGAAGCACCACGCTGTAGTCGGGAGATGCTGGTGGTTGGCTTTTTTTTCCGGCCGCTGAAGAAAAGCAAACTAAACACTATCTTAATCGTCAATTCATGTTCTATTTTAAAAATATATAGAAACAGGCAACCCTGGTGTAAACACACAGAGTGAACACGGAACCAGTGCTGGATAACTCAATTTCAATGCACCCTGTTCAACCCTCCACAACGACGGAAGCGAATCACACATCCAGCAGCACTTAACACTCCAACCGACATATACACAGTACCAGATTAATCGAGCCTTAATCAAAGGAATTTTCATTTAACCTACTAATTATGACACCACCAACTCTCCTTACCACATGACGTGTGGGTCTCAGTGGTTTTTTATTCAGCTGACGCAGTTAAATCAAGAAACCTCAAACATAGAGCAGCTAAGAGCCTTTCTGTGTACAACGTATTCGGTCACGGCTCTCTGCGCCAAGAACTTTGAGAAACGCACCAGCGACAGTCAAAACAAAGTTGTAAAGTACACGCCCTCACAACTTCGTCCTTCAACAACACTTCGTATACCCTTTCAAATCAACAAAAAACTAAGCTGTTCGAGCTCCACAACTTCTTTGCAGCATTACTCGTGCATTGAGTGTTGACAACTCCAGTTGCTGTACATGCATTCGTGGTAGAGATCCACGGTTTGAAGCCAAGATTCCACGCGCAAACTCATTTAGTCTTGTACCGCAACGCTCCTTGTTAAACACCCTTACATCACCAGAGTCATGCATACCCAACAACTGTTGGAGCACGTTTCTACTCGTGAAACTCCTTAGAACACATTTACGCTAGTCAAGTCTACCATTCTTTTGCCGGATAATACACGAAAAAAATGAACCGAATTAAACCAGGGCTTGCCACAAAGGTCTTCACCGTCACGAGGTTCAGTTCTGCCTCCCGAGACAACTGAAGCAGTGGACAATCATAGCAAACCCAAATATTAAATGAGTAGAAACCAAAATGGTTTGACCTATCCTGCAACATCCCCAAGCCAGCCTCACCTGTGTGGTCCGACGGAAGAACGTGACACAAATCAAAGCTCTGGATTCCAGTGACTTCCTTATTCAGCTATCTTCGTCGGTGCTTCGTCAGATGGTATTGCCAACAACTACAACGCGATCATCGTGAACGTTCGCTGTTCCAATTTGTGAATTGGCTGGAGTGGAACAACAGGAAAACACTCAAAAAACAGGTCTAGAACGGAAAACCACTGCCGGTCTTGTCCACCTGCGCGCTGATGAGCAAACGCCGTGGGATAGAAACAAACGCCAACAAAACCGAAAGCAAGGACCACAACAGAAACAAGACTGCAGGTGGAGTGCAACGAGGTGACGGAACAAAGAATCAGGAATGACAAAGGGAAACATTATTAACCAAGCTACTCCCTAATATGGCAATTATGCTGGGCCCAATGAAGTCACATTACCATATTAGAGGTGGCAATTTTACACAGGTCTGTTGGCTTGTTGGGTTTTCAGCCGGCCTGGTCCGTCTCTTTGACTTCTTAAACGGCGGCCCGACCTTCCCAAGCACACTCGGTGTCAACGCACGGGCGCGCCGGCTGCTCTGTACAAACTACCGCAAAAAACTGAAAAGCCGGTTGAAAATCGGGAGTCAGACACGGCTACGAAGACTGAACCTCCCAAGAAAACTACCTCGCTCGCCTTAACAACGAGTCACCCTTGTCTTCATGACCAGCCAGCATTGTGGGGAAACGATCGTTGACGCAGTTAAAGTTATGCAATGATCCGGTCCAAAAGTCTAGTGCGAATGTTTCAGCTGCCAGTTCTGGCGCCGACGCGGTCGTGACTGTTCTTTCCTGTCCAGCGCGTTTACTGCGCGACCGCCGTCTTCCGTTGCGAACAGGGTCAAGCTGAGCGCGGAGGGGAAGCCTTTGACTCCGACGGCTGCTCGTCCAACACCCACCAGATCCTCCAACGCTCCTTCCTTTGTACCTCTCTGCAGATTCTTTTACCGCGTCATTTTCGCCTGAAAACCCACTTTGAGGGCCCTTTTTGGAGAGCCCATGGCTTGGCGGCGCCCTCCCGTCGGCGGCCCCGTAACCGTCCCCGACGTACACGCCTCTGACAGGGCGGATTCTCACGACACGTGGCCCTTCTTCTGCCGTTGCGCTCCCGGCGGGGGAGGCCTGTAAATGTCCTGTCAAGCGGCACAACCGAAACACACAGGCCAGGGTCTCTTGTACACCGGACTCCACACAGCTACGATATGTTCAAAAGTGGCCAACGGTTGGGACCGAAGCCCCCCGCCCGACCCACCCAAGCCTTCTTCCAAGGCCACCGCTTTCGTTGAAGGCGGTTGAAAAGAAAGGGCTGCGTGTCTGCTGGAGCCCTGAGGGGGAGGTCCGGATTTCTGAACCCCCGTGGCCCACACGCAGCGTCCTCCAGCAGTCCCGTCGAGCCTTCAAATTAGAGCGCCACATCTGGCTCTTCTTCCCGCAAAACAGCCCGTCGGCAATGCTCTGCAAGCGCGGGCGGACCGCAAGGGGGGCCGCGACGGCGGGGACACACGGTTCGGCAGCGCCAGCACGCAACGAGCGACAACACACAGAACTGGCGTCTGAGATCCACGACCAGCGTCAGAGCCTCAGGTCCGGAGGAAAGACAAAGCGGACTGGCGTGAACGGAATCTGCGCCGCGGCACCCACTGCCACCGGGAGCTGCGCTAGTATCGTCTCCGGCCTGGTTCAGAACTAACAGCGAATTAGCCTCACCGCGCACGCTCCTCTCAAAGCACGCTCTCTCACCCCAGCATGTGATTATAGAACGGGCAGCATCCTCCTGACATGGAGAGACAACACGCTCTTGTCTGTTTACCTTGCCTCGGGGACAGGAGTTTGTTTCTTCGCATCGGATTCCTGCGGTCCTTATGCGCCCGACCGCGATGACACAACACACAACAAATCGCTAGAGGTAACACTAAAAAAAATCGATTCAACAAGACAAAACATTTCGATATCAGCAAACGAAATACAAGCTTTCAAATTAATGCCAGAAATGTTATTACGTGTACTGTATGTCGCACTTATTGTAAAGAACTCACAAATAATACAATATATCGAATCATTAGGGATGGAAAAAACAACAAATAAAAACAACCCCAAACTGTTCTCTATTTTAGATTCCTTAGAAGACAAAAGAGATCCTCCTCGTCCGGTTTTGAAGACCTTAACCGCTTCAAAAGTGTCTAAAATAGTTCGGCGGCGCCTCGCATTCTACGCGCGACACGCCCGGGACGCACAAGAACGGCCCAACCAGCAAGGAAGAACCCGCCCACACTTGTCTCCCAGATGTCGCTTCGTCATCATTATTCGGCTTTGTTCCCGGCTGGACCGATCTTCCCAACAAAGTCTTACAAGACAGTACACCACCACGAGCGAGGCCCGTCTGGGCCTCTCTGTGCGTGCACTTGATTCCCATCCGACGAGGTCGGCAATCCACCACCCAGCCACAGCAGCGCGTTTAGCCTGCATCCTAGCACCGCCAACACACACACACACACAGGCAGTTCATTTCTAAAGTTGAAATTCACCTATAAGCACTGCTGCCCTCTAGTGGCGACACCTGAGCCCAACTACAGAAAAAGTCTAGGTACTGAGGTACTCTACTTGAATATTTCCCTTTTATTCTACTTTGTTGTACATTTTACTTCATCACATCAATTTGACAGCTTTAGTTACTTTGCATATTTGGATTAATAAGTCAACTAATAAATTATGATTTAATATTTTAGGTCAAGTATAAAGTATAAAAAGTAATAAAACATACTAAACCACCTTCACCAGCTGTATCATCAGTGATAAACACATAATTATAATCCAGTGATATATCCTGAAATCTGCACAATGTACTTTTACTGTTGGTACTTTAAATATATTTTGATGCTAATATGTTTTTATTACTTTAAGTTATATTGAATGGAGGCTGGGGAGCATTTTTACACTGTGGAATTGCTACTTTTACTCCTTCTCCCTAATGCATAGCAATTGTATAATTCCCAAAATGTCAGGCTTATAAAGGACGTTGAAATAAGCACGAGCACTTGAACACACCGTGATGTCCACCTGACACCTCCGCTCATGGGGCAGCTTATTTTGAGCATCGACTACATCACAGATCACATCAGTGATAGAGATCATCAGAGTTCACATTGTCTAATGAAGAGAAAAATATCACAGTGCAGTCATGTGAATACAGCCCGGTCAACTGTTGACGTGGCCGAAGGCATCACACTGACATGAACAATAGCTCGTCGTGGGAGGTCGAGCATGAATGTCACTCAAATTGCTGAGTTTATAATTACTGGATCTGCACCGCTAGCGTCTATTTAACCATCTCTAATGAGGAACTGAGTCATCCAGATCAGTCTGAACTTGCCAATTACCACTAATGAGATGCAGTGTGTGACATAAGTCAACGTATGGATTCACATTCCAGCTATGTTTTCAGTAAGTGTACTTGTCAGAATGTCCCCATGTGAAATGAGATCATTAAGTTAGTCATAGAAACTATTACTATTTATTGTTTTCAAAAGGCTCCTACACACAGAAGCACCACGCTGTTATGGAGATGCTGAGTGGTGGGCTTTTTTTTCCGGCACGTAGAAAAGCAAATAAACTTTAGTCGGTTAAATTATGTTTATTTTAAAAATATATAGAAACAGGACCACTGGTGTAAACACACAGTAACACGGAACAGTGTGGATACTCACACTTCAATGCAACCCTGTTCACCCTCAACCCAGACTGGAAAAAAGAAACAGAAATCACACATCACAGCAGCACTTTACCCTCCAACACATCATAACCGTACACACCGTATCGAACTCTGTTCAAAGGAATTTTATTAATTATGACACCCCAATACTTTCAACATAGTGTGGGTCTCAGTGGTTTTTTATTCAGTGAGATTAAATAAAGAAATCAAATAAGAGCAGTAGCCTTTCTGTGTACAGTATTGGTACGGTAGTTGGCCAAGTATTTGAGAAGAACACGAAAGTCAAAAATTGTAAAGTACACCTCAACTTCTCCTTAAACATTCTGTATATTTAATAAAAAAAACTCAAAGCTTCAGTCAATTCTTTGCAGCATTACTTTGATTTGAAACTCAGTGTGTAATCATTGTTTAAATCACGGTTGAGCAGATTCCAGCGGAACTCTTTCCAGTTTTACGACGCTCTTGTTAAACACCTTACATCACCATCATCATACAAACAATGTTTGGAGCCGTTTATGTGAAACTTTAGAACATTTACTAGTCAAGTTACATTTTTCTGGATAAGTAAGAAAAATGAGAATTAAACAAGGCTGCCACCAAAGGTCTTCAGCGAGGTCCAGTCCTGCTCCAGGACAACTGAAGAGTGGATCATAAGAACTCAAATATTAATGAGTAGAAACACAAATGTTGATATCTGACATCCAAAAGTCACTTGTGGTCGAAAGGAGTGAAAAATAAAGTCTGGATTCATACTTCTTATTCAGCTATCTTTGTGTTCTCAGATGGTATGAACACTAAAGTCGATCATGTGACTGTGTTAGTTGTGATTGCTGAGTGACAGGAAATCAAAAAAGGTTAAAAAACATGACGTTTGTTCCCACTGTGATGAGCAATGGGAACCTAAACAAAGCAAAAACCAAAGCAAGGACAAAATAAAGCAAACTGCAGGTGTGAGTGCACGAGTGAAAAACACCAGAATCAGGAATGAACAAAGGGGAAAATATACACAAGCTACTCCTAATATGAGTTATGCTGGGACGAATAATCACATTAATATTAAAGGTGGAATTTTAACAGTTTGGCCTTGTTGGAGTTTACGGCTTTTTGCCTTTTAAACGGCGGCCGACGCTCCACACACCTCGTTACACCGGCTGTCTGTAAAACTGCAAAACTGAAAGCGGTTGAAAATGGAGTCAACACGGTAGAAGATGAATCCCCAGATATCTGCCTAACAACGAGTCACCTGTTTCATGACCAGAAGCATTGTGGGAAACGTATCGTGACGCAGTTAAAGTTACTCAATGATTCCAAAGTCTAGTTGCGATGTTCAGCTGCAGTTTGGCCCGACGCGGTCGTGAATGTCTTCAGCGGCTCTATGGCGACCCGTCTTCGTCCTGAAAAGGGTAGCTGAGCGCCGGAGGGAAGCCCTGACTCCGAGGCTGCTCGTCCAACAACACCAGATCCTCCACGTCCTTCCCTTTGTACCTCCGTCTGCAGATCTTTACCGTCACTTTTCGCCCCTGAAACACTTTGAGGGCCTCTTTGGAAGCCATGGCTTTGGCGGCGCCCTCGTCGCGGCCGTAGCCCGTCCCCACGTACACGCTCTGACAGCGGATCTCACACACGTGGCCTTCCTTCTGCGTGCGCCCGGCGGGGAGGCCTGTAATGTCCTTCAGCGGCACAAACACACAGGCCAGGGTCTCTTTACACGACTCCACACAGCTACGAAGTATTTCAAAGTGGTCCAGGTTGGGACCGAAGCCCCCCGCCGACACCAGCTTCCAAGCCACCGCCTTGTAGAGGCGGTTGAAGAAGGGCTGGTGCTCTGCTGGAGCCTGAGGAGGAGGTCCGGATTTCTGACCCCCGGGCCACGCAGCCGTCCTCCCAGCAGGTCGGCCGTCGAGCTCATTAGAGCCACATCTGGCTCTCTTCGCACAGCCGTCGGCATCGCTCTCTGCAAGGGACGACACAACGGGCAGGACAGTGAGGAGAGCACAGAAACAGCACTTAATGAGGAAACAGTCCAGCCTCAGGTGTGGAGGAAAGAAAAGAAAAGACGCTGCGTGAAGGTAATTCCACTGAAACCCTGCTGTAACATGTCGGTGGTCCAGAACTACAGAGACATTATTCACAGCTTCAAAGTCTCACATTGCTTATAAAGGCCAGATTCTGAATTAAAAACAGCTTGTTTTTACTTTGAGGAATTTTTTTTCCATCGGATTAATTTCTTATGGCCGAATGACAAAAGACAAAATGTAGATTCAATTTAAAAAAATCGATTCAACAGACAAACATTTGAATATCAGCAAACGAAATACAGCTTTCAATAATGCAGAAATGTTATTACCGTGTACTGTATGTCGGCACTTATTGTAAGAACTACAAATATACAAATATTATGAATCATTAGGGATGGAAAAAAACAACAAATAACATCACCAATGTCTCTATTTTAGATTCTGTAGAGACAAAAGAGATCCTCTCGTCGGTTTGAGACCTTAACTGCTTCAAAAAGTGTCTAAATATTTCGTCTACCCAAAAACAAAAGACGAGAAACACATTTCAACATGTCAGTGTCATTTATCTCGGCTTTCCGGTGAATCTCCCAACAAGTTAAAGAGGTAAAACAACACTTGTGTCTGTGTGAACTGATTCCATCCACATCAAACACACACACAGCAGGTGAGCTGCATTACCGGCTGTGGCACTCCGCTTCGCTTTGGCCAGTCCGCCTATCGTCGTCCTGTGAACCGGTGCATCTTCCACAGCTATCCCCTCGCCCATCTCCTTGATCTTGTCCATAACGGCCTGTGGGTAGCTGAGGGACAGACACAGAGACACAGAGGGGCTCATCACCTGCGTGCACTGAGCTTCAGGTCAGTACTCTGCTGTCAGTGAGGCTCACCTGCAGCCCAGGAAGACGTGGTTGGCCCACACCGTGGACAGGGACAGCAGTCTGTCCAGGCTGCTGCTGGGGACTCCTGGCTCCACCGTAGGGAACCCCTCCATGTTCCTGAGGATGAACTCTCTCCGGGCGACCCACTGTTTGTTGGTCTCACAGTAGCCCCTCAGACTGTCGACCCACCGGGCCAGCTGCGGGTTCTGGCCCAGGTACTCCGACACCGCGTCCTCTCCGCTGCTCTCCCCCGCCATCCCTGCAAACACACACACATCACACACACACACACACACACACATATAAATATAGTGTTCACTGTCTTTGTGTCTCATTAACACTCTGCGTGCATACACCTCCTGTTCTGGTTGCTGACTCGCTGTGCGAAGCTCCGAAACTGACTTTTAGCGAACTAACGTTAAGTTAAAGCCCAACGACGAGCCGACTCACAGTATCTCTGCCGCTACCACAAACACCCGCTGATACTGTCACACAACGACACAACGTAACGCAACGTAACGCAACGTAACAGTTTTACACGAAATAATCATTTTAACGAACTAACTACGACATACCGATCTCTCTCTCTCTCTCTCTCTTCTCTCTCTCCGCTGCAAGGTGTTGCTAGCTAGCTACATGACCGAGTGATGACGCAGGGTGACGTCGCTGCCTTTTTTCCCCCCCCGCGCGGACGGGACTACATTACCCAGAATGCAAGTCGCCAAGCTACAGGTTGCTAACTTCCGCTTGCTTTTTGTTTACATACCTTTGTAAAAGCTCGTTTGAGTTATTAAGCAACAAGGAAGGGTTTTTTTTTTAATAAAAGCCCACTTTTACACTTTTTGTGATGTTTTAAAAAAAAAAATCCCCGTAAATGACGAAGAGGAAATGTAGCTGGCGACCAACCGCCGGTCGCTTTGCCCGTGATGCTTTGTGTCGTAGGCTAGCGTCACCCGACCTGCGACGGCTCGGGCGGTTTGTTTTGGTGCGTGAACGTGAAGCTCAGTGCTGCATTATCGGGTTCAATCAATTACAAATCAATTACAAATCAATTAACATGATTCACGAGCTGCTGCTGGCGTTGAGTGGATACCCGGGGACCATTTTCACGTGGAACAAACGGACAGGTCTGCAGGTACAACAAAGCTCCTGACTCAACGTTAATATATAATATATATATGTGATATCTGAGACAGTTTTTACCTTTTAAAACGTTGTTGTTGTTGTTTTTTTTGCAGGTTTAAGATATTAAAATGATGTTATTGACTTTGTTGACAGTATAGTTATACATTTGTGGTGGAATATGCACAATATTATGCAAATAACAGCAGTCCCAGGCCCCACTGTGCTGTTTTACATGTATCTGCCTCTTTAAAGCTAGAAGTATATATTTATTATTAACCAGGGGTATAAGAAAATGAAGTGTGCAATTCAAGAATTAAGTTATATTATATATATAACATATATGATATAAATCGGGTTACAAATTGTGTTTATATTTATAGCTTTAAAAGTGTCATCAGTATTCAGACTTCAGTCCATTCGCATATGTGTGATGGTGGAAACATGCAAACTTATCACAGGAAGTGAGGTAACAGCATCACAACTACAGATAATAATAGTTATAACATTTAGGGAACTTTCTATAACCTCTTTCACCAGACATAACAACATGCAACGGTTGGTTACAAACTTGCACAATAGGTAAATTTCCTTACAAGAAACAGAAATGTTGATTCACAGCAAGGTACAGCAATTGATTTTATGCATAATTAACAATAATTAATGGGCATAATACTGACATTCTACGTGGTGAAACTTGACTAGAAGAAAGGCAGTGATTTGGCTCGTGAACCATAGTTAACCTTTGTGTATATCAGAGTCACACAGTGTTTCTTTTTGAACATGAACCACTTTGTTTCATCTGCAGGTGTCCCAGGACCTGCCCTTCCTTCACCCCAGTGAGACCAGTGTCCTCAACCGGCTGTCTAAACTGGGCTCCGATTACATCCGCTTCACAGAGTTCATAGAACAACACACCGGCCATGTGCACCAACAAGTGAGAAAAGTCCCTAGATCTCACATAACAACATTTTAGATTTTAGCCTGTAAACATTTCTGTTGTGAAATGACAATGACACATTTTTAGGTCAATATTATTAATTAAAAGCTGTATTTTTACTGTTTATATTTGGCTGTAAGTTGTACAGATGTTTGTTAAAGACTGCCCTACCTTTCCCCTAACACAGAGTCTCCCAATAATAAAAATTAATGCATTTATCTCAATAATTTGTCCTCTAGGAACATCACACGAACCAGCCCAGCCAGACGGGACTTCATGGAATTTACTTGCGGGCTTTCTGCACAGGTCTGGACTCTATTCTGCAGCCGTACAGACAGGCCCTGCTGGACCTCGAACAAGAGGTAAAATGATGACGCTGCCAACAACAATAAATGGTGAAGTGTGTGACAGGATGCTCATTTAACTTGTGTGTGTGTTTCAGTTCCTTGGAGATCCACATCTGACAATATCTCATGTGAATTATAAGCTCGATCAGGTAAAGCATTAATAAAACTCCTGAAGAGATCAGTTTGTCCAGTGAAAATATACTCACAGTGGAAAGTCTTTATAGAGTTAAACTTATCTGTTCTTTTTCTTTAAGTTCCAGTTGCTGTTTCCTTCTGTGATGGTGGTGGTAGAGACGATAAAATCACAGAAGGTAAGGATTGTTTATGGAGTAGTTCACCAGGAAGTGTAAGTTCAGGAGGGAGGACAGTGATGCCCATGCTGCACATGAGAGAAAATGTTGTAAAAGAACATGAAAAGGCCTCCATTTCACAAGAAAGCCCCAATAAATAAAGAATAACTCGAGGAAACATGTCACCAGTGTATGTAACTGCAATATTGAAGTGCAAACCAGAGCCCTTGTTGCATGCTCCGACTCCTTTATCACCATATCAGCCGACACCAACATGCATGTGGATCAAGACACCAAGATCATTTCTTAAAGAAAACTCACATTTCTTCAGAAGCAGAAAGCATGACATGCCGTGATGTGTCAGCTGATGATGGGATAAAAGCTGAGTTTGCACTGTGGAAGCTCCTTGAAGATAATGACTCAAAAACTAGATCTGCTAATCCAGAGGAACAGAACCGACGTCTGTGTTCATGTTGTCTTGTGTGTGCTGCTTTAGATCCATGGCTGTCAGATCCTGGAGACGGTGTACAAGCACAGTTGTGGGGGGCTTCCTCCTGTACGCATGGCCTTAGAGAAGTAAGTCAGCTCTCTTTGGGAAAGACCTTAATCCAAGTTTCAACGTTGTGTTTACACTGGTGGGGTGGAATATGTACTCCATAGAGCAGTATTGCAGTACTACGTAATATAAAAACACAGAGTAACCCTGTTTCAATACATGTTTAGATGATGGATTTTAAATAGGGATGCTCGATATTGGC